CCTATCCCCTGTGTGCCTTGCCTCCCACGACTTAATTCATTTCATGACTCTTAAAGAGTCTTATTTTTAAGTTTGTATCTTAGGTAATAACTTTGTATACCATTATCTAGAGGACTTACAGTCTATTTTCACTGTGGTATGAGAGAAGTTTATCGCCTTCCCCTAAGAAGCTAAAGCTGCAATTCATATGGATTCTTTTACTTTTATGTGAGAGAGAGAGAGAGATAGAGAGATTCCAATATATTGGATTCATGTTGGTTTTAACTCTCACAATTGGCGTGTCTTAGATAATTGCTTCCCCATAAGTCAGGGGCACTAATGTTCATTTGTTTAAAAATTTGGTCGCAAATGGGAAAAAAAAAATTCTTCCACATGAATTTGGGGCATCAGAGGTTACTGATTATATATGTAAAAAATTATGAAACTGTCAAATAATTTTATTTTAGATTTTTATTTTATTTTTTATATAAAATGTATCATCTTGTTTATGATTTGGGCATTTTTTTTCTTTCTGTTCTTTTTTGGTCACAGATGACATCAAGAGCAGGGTTAACAGGTGTGACAGTGCAAGCATCCCTCGCAGTCCAAGCCCTTCAAATTTTGATCGCTATGTTCGTCATGGACACATGGCAGTATTTTGTGCACCGCTATATGCATCAAAATAAATTCCTATACCGCCACATCCATTCTCAACACCACAGACTGGTAGTGCCCTATGCTATAGGGGCTCTCTACAACCACCCTCTTGAGGGCCTCTTGCTTGATACTTTTGGTGGAGCCCTTTCATACCTTGTCTCAGGGATGACGGAGAGGACTGCCGTTGTGTTCTTTTGTTTTGCAGTGGTAAAAACTGTTGATGACCATTGTGGCCTTTGGCTTCCTGGCAATATATTTCACCTTGTTTTCCAAAACAACACGGCTTACCATGACATCCACCACCAACTCCAAGGCACCAAGTATAACTATTCACAACCATTCTTTGCAATTTGGGATAAGCTACTTGGGACCCATATGCCATATAGTTTAGTTAAGCGCCCTGAAGGTGGATTCGAGGCAAGGCCTGTAAAGGATTAGTTTTCCTTTAGACAAGAAAATCACGATTTTTTTCTTTTTCAGTGTGCGAGATATATTAATGCGTATAAATGGTGGGTTGGGGAGAAGGGATGATGAAGAAGAGGCTTGGAACGTGGTTGTATATATGGCCTATTTGAATCTTGGGTTTGCCTTGTGTAGAAGAGAGTGGGGCATGGGGTGGTTTTTCGGGATAGCTTTGTAATGTGATGGTTCCTGTCATTGTTGGATTGGTAATCAATTGTCTCTGTTCCGAAAAGAAGGGATGCGATGTTTTTGTGTGGGTTTTACTTTTTAACGAATCCTTATACATATTTGTTGGATGGCCTGTAGAATTTTAGTGCAGGTCATGAGTGTGTTGTATTGTGCTTGGGTGTTGTTTTCTTTAACACCACTTTTTGTGTAGGTAGGAAGATCAAGAACACGGAGTATCTTTAGATTTATATTACATTGTGATCATTGTGTTCTTATCATTCCATCAAAGAAGATTATGAGGTTGATTTTTCTTCCTAATTCCAAAACTCCCTCTATTGTCATTTATGACTGGTCTAACATAGAGATCAACAGTGATACTTAAGAATTCCTGTTAGTTCTTACTGGTCTTTGATAGAGATCAAGAGTGATGCTCTGAGAGAGAGAGAGAGAGAGAGAGAGATAGAGATGTTGCTTTGAAGATAGGCTTCACCATTTCTCTTGTTAACCATTTTGGGTACTTTGCTTATAGACAGGCTGTCGTTGTTTGCACGGAAAGCAGGAGCTGCTCACGCTTTTTGTGCAATAGGGCATTTTTCGTCGTTTGTTTTGGGGGAAGTGCCCTTCAACCTGATCTCCAACTTTCTGTGAATGTGGAACCTAGCACAGAAAATTGGACGACCCCTCCTGGGGGTATAACCCCAACTTCTCAGTACTTGTTCTATTGTCTCTCCTCTCTCTCCATTCTCTGCCCATATTTATCCTTTCCTCTCCTCATAATTCTCTTTCTCAACTCTCTTTTCTCTTGGAGTTATCTCATATCTCTTTCCTCCTATCTCTCCTCTCTTCTGTCTCCCTATTGAAGCTTTCTTTGAGGCGGATGGTGTTTGGGCTTTTAAATGTGTTGGCTTTGAATCATTTTATTTAGGTGAGTGGTGTTGGTTCTTGGATATATGAAGGTTGAGTTGCATTTCATGACCTTTGCTTGATTTGTGGGGCTTTAATGGCATCTCTATTGAAGATTTGGGGTTTTTAAATTTTTTGGTCTCAAATCAAGTGGCTGCTATTGTCTACTGAGATGGTTATGTGAAGGTTGAGTTATAGAGCTTTCATGGAGATTGTTTTGTGATGTTGCACTAGAGTGAGTCGCTGTTTGTCATATTGATTGTTATGTGAAGTGTTATCGAGCTTTCATGTAGATAGTTGCGTGGAACTGGGTTTTGGGTTTTAAAAGCATTGGTTTTTACCAATGCTTTAAAAAGCCGATCGGTGACCCGGATCGAGCACCTCAAAACTCGATTTGGATCGACGAATAGGCTATCTGGATCGGGAATTGGTTGAATCGGTCGGATTAAAGCTTCAAAAAAATCCGAAAAAATTATTAAAATTCATTATAAATGTTGTTTTTTAGGAATCCAATAAAAAATGAGGGTACTACATTATTAACTTTCATTTTTTTTTTATCAATTTGTGAATATTGAGATGTTCTTTTCCTGTATAAACTTATTTTAACTATTAAATTTGCATCACATAAAAGAAAAATCATAGAATTATCATGGATAAAATATATAATTATATATGGACTATTATAAAGAGTAGACTAATCAATGAAAGAATGGCCATTAAAATCTCGTTTTGGCAAAAAACCCTAACCCACTAAAAAAACTCAAACTATTACAGCCTAACTAACTATAATCCAAAATTATTATAACCTCACTAATTATAATATTATATATTGAAATTATAATTATTAGTTTACATTTTATAATTATTTTATTAGACAAATAATAACAAATTAAAATATTTTATAATATTATCTAATTTAAAATGTATTAGTGACAACTGTAAGAAAAATAGTACATTACATGATTTATAATGTAAAAATTCATAAATAAAATAAAAGATTTGGTTATCAATGTAAAAATTAATAAAATGCGTACAAATTTTGGAAATAACACTTCAATTTTTCAAAAATTTATTTTTTTAGATTTCTGTAATAAATTTAGTAAAAGAGATTGTTAGCAGAAAGATGGAGATTTCAAATAGAATAAACTTTTTATTTTTATTTTTTTTATACCTTTCATATTATTTACAAAAATAATTATACTACTATATACAACAAAAATTAACTGTTATATAAAAAATTAATTTTTTTTATTTTTCATTTTTTTATGTCTTTTATATTATTTACAAAAATATTTATATTTATATCAACCACTTATATACAACAAAAATATTTATATTTATACTAACCACTATATATACAACAAAAATGCAACACATGCCCAAGGAGATTCGAATACAACAAAAATATTTATATTTATACCAACCACTATATACACAACAAAAAATGCAACACATGCCCAAGGGGATTCGACCTTGGGACCTCAAGTAAAAAAAAAAAAAATCATAAACCATCAA